GAAGACACAGTGTCAGAGTTGGTATCTCAAACAGGAGCTGCAATAAAATGGTTTGCCACCACGAATAAAAAGTTGGGGAAGATAAAGAAGCAAGGGCAGTCTCAATGTTGGCATTTATGTCACTTCTGTAAATTCTTATGTGGAACTCACTGCAAGCTGGTTTTCAGTTCAGTAGTTTTTCAGCTCTTAGTATTTTTCATGATACCTATTCTATTCTTAAAAAAAAAAAAAACTTACGCTGCTGAAAATACAATAAGCATAATGAGCTAACAGAGTAGGAGAAATGCAAAAATGAGCACAGTGGATGTGCAAATGGAGAGAAGCTTCTGCTGAGAGATGGAGCAAAGCTGAAGCCTGAAGGAAAGGACCATCCTTCCCACTCCATGTACCTGTCATATTCCAGTGTACGACACCGTAAAATGGGGAGAAAGCTTTGTAAGAGGCAGGAAGAGTGCTAACACCACTCTGGGTTGATGAGGGGAGAAAGTATCTTGAGTAAGATATCAAAATGTGAGAAAGCTTTAACGGTGATTTTTGGCAAAGACACGGGGAAGATGCAAGTTTTGCATCTTGATGTGCAAGCCCTGAGGTGGGGTGCTGAGTTCCTAACCCCAGCCATGTGTCCTCTCACCTCTTACACTCTGACACTTTGCTTTCAGGTTCGTGGAGGCGTTAGTTCAGCTAAGAATGAGCTCATACATGACGACTTTCTAAAGTCATGGACCAAACAATCAAATTCATTCTCGAAGAAGCAAGCCTGAAGGGGCTGATGAGAGTAGTATTGGATAGGTATCAACGATTTCATCTTCATTGTGAAAGAGTTTTCAAATCGATTCTTCAGTGACTTCACCTCATTTGTTCAATTGAAGTATTCTCCATCATCAGTACATGTGATGATCCAAATGCAGGACACACCGTGTCTGTGCAAGGAATGACTTCCTTTTCTTTACGGAACAGATTCAAACGTTCAGGTGTCTCCTACAAAGTGTGAATCACAGAGCTCACAGCTGGCATGTGCTGCAAGGCTTGGGTACTGGTGCCAGGTGCAAGAAGCATAAAAGACAGCGTGCTTTGTGCTGTCTCAGGCAGTGCATTTCTTGACAAGCAGCACGGGATGCAAAAACAACTTCATGGCTTATAGCCTCGCATGCTGCAGAGCCAGTCTTCACTGAATAAAATGGATTTGGCCTCCTACTCCATCTGACTTGCCTCTGGCTTGAAATAGGTCATCATCTTTTCATTACGTTGCAAGGGAGTGCTTATTTGCAAAATTAATGCATGGTTATCCACAATGGGCAGATAGGAGTTGATATATTCCAGAATATCTGGAATATCTCCAGTCTTCTGTCTGTCTGTATCCATTTTAGCCTGTGTCAGCTTCTTTCCGTCAGCAGCACTAAAAGAAGAATCAAATCTAATCTCTTGTGATAAAGAATAACCTTAACCTAATGCTACCAGATAAGGCGGAAAAATTTATTTGAGGCTTTTTAGGAAAAAAATAAGGTTATCCCAGATATAAAGGAGTCATTACTTTTTTTTTTTTTTTTTTTTGTGGAACTACGATGAAACGCTGTCTCAAATGACCATGCTGCTTCCCATGGAAAGTGGCTGGACTTGCTTGTGGGCAATGCTGCAATCGTTGCAGGTGGACTTGAGAACGCATCAATATTTCTAGCAACTGTCTCTTAGGCTGGCATTGTTTTTTGCACTTCTGTGAGATATTTGGCAGTAATTTTCTCGCAGAAATCCCTTTATCCACATTTTATTTATGCTTTCACTAGAATGAGAAGAAAACTGGAGAAGCCTGCTGGTCAGTACGGAAGACCAGCCCTCTTTTTTGTTGTTATGAGCATGTTTATGAGCACTCCACTACCCCCAGTGAAATTCCACACCTGTACGATGTGCGTGATGGGGATGTGGTGTTGAGAGACTATCCTGGCCCAAGGTCTTTAAAGCTGGGCTGGTGCACAGGATGCAAACGTGGGTGAGGTGAGTTACCAGAACATGCAGGTTTGAGAGGAAAAAAGGCAGGCTGGGACTGCTGGCTGTGCACGTGCAGCACGTACAGCGTCGTTCTTGTGAGGAGGAAGCTCCGGGCGCTGTGGTGTGCAGAAGCAGGCCTTTTCAGGTCACACGAGGTAACTTGCACAGAGCACCACTTCTGAACTCCAATTAGGAAAAGGCTTACATCCCTTCAATTAAATTGCAGTAGTCATAGATCCTGCATAATAGGATGCTCTATACTTTCACAGGGGTCGAGTATCAAGGGGAATCAGCTACCTAGGTAAGGGATGCTCAGGACCACAAGCGACCCTATTTAACTCTTTTTGCTGATAGGAAACAGCAGAAGGTAGCTTCATGGAAGTAGTAAGAGCTGCTACTTAAGAGGAACTGTGAGGCTTGGATGCTTGCCATGTCGTGTTCTGGTGCATACTTGATTAAGGAGAGAGTATGCTAGTCAATACTGGATTTGTGAGAGTTTTTTTCAGCTTGTCAGAAGACTTTTGATGAATATGGCACACGAAATAGGTTTTCCATTTCTGTGAGCAACAAGTAATGACTCAGTGCTGTGGTTGACGTTGATAAATTTCCTTCTGCCTTCAGTGTACTTTTAACTGTGTGAGTAGCCTTTCTAAGGTAATAGAAATCCATGCAAAGTTTCCCTGCAAGATGCTCTTACTTTAGTGCTCAGGTGTACAGAAAGTAATTCAGGGCATCATTTCCAGCCGCTCTGGGCCATGCTGTCTTCCACTAGATTTAACTGCGGCTTCTTCAGGTAGAGAAATTTTTGCCGTAATCCAGCAGCTGGCAGTAAGTCTCAAATTTGTTTTGTTTTTTTTCATCAGTCAGAGTTTTTGCTCGTCATGGTATTAACTTAACCAGAAGATTTCTGTCCTCTGAACTGTTCAAGGCTGTTTTTAGATGTTGTTGCTGCCACCTTCTAAGTAACGTGCTTCTGCTGTGCGTGTTGCTGCTTTACTTCTTTAAAAGAAAGCAAGGTTGCTGACATGGACACAAAATAGGAAATAATCTCTGAGCAATGAAGTTGCTTCTAATCAATCTTCAAAAAAGTATTCAAAAAACCTCATCCAACAGGTTACTTTGTCGGGGAAGCACCTTCCCTCCCCACCGTTGGCAGGCATTTAAGGTGTAGTAAGTTGTTGATGCTGGTTAAAGTGTAGTAAATGTTGAGGATGACTTCTGTAGGTAGAATTGCCAGAATGAATAATAAAAGTCGCATTAAATAGTAATGAAACTTGTTTTCTGAAAGTAATCTTGAGGCATGCTTCCTTGGTTTGCCATGGATTTCCTGTGTACGCAGCCAGGTTAATAGCACGTTACCATTTGTACAGCAACTAAACATCTAAAACTCTTCTGTTGAACAGGTTCATTGACATAGGGTATTGGTTCAAGCTTGTTCCCTTCACCAAGGATGTGGCTACCTCCTGGCAACTTGGGAAAAACGTTAGCAAAATGCAGAGATCTTCCTGTTTGCTGGTTAGCATTCCTAACTCCAAATGATAAAGTGATTGTAAGTTGAGAAGCAAGTTGACTTCCCCAGTTGCCTTCAGTGAGTTTGCATACAGAATGTTTGAACGTCACACTCTTCATTTGGTGTCCCCTCACCCTTGGTAGTTGAGGTTACTTGTTCCTCAGCAAACTGCTTTTGCTTGAATGTAACTTGGTGATGAAACCTTTGTTCTGTTTGTTCTGAAACTGGAGCTAGATAGGAATCAATTATTAGTTTCTGTAGGGAATGGCTTACCTTTAATCTTAATGTTTACTGGCGGATAACCAATGTCTTAAGTGAGTGGGCTAAGTAAGGTGATGCACAACATAGGAACTATATTTTAGAGTTTGTTTCTTCGTGAATATCTCAAGACTGGTAAGACTTGTTTTGATCCAGCTTGGGTTGGATCCTGTTCTTGGCATATGCTATGGAATACTGTGTTGGTTGTGTCTTCTTTTTAAAGAGAGAAGTTGTGATAACTTCCAGGCCCAGTCTTGAGGTTGTATATGTTATAATAATCCATGAAATAGAGAAGAGTTAAACTGAAAGATGTAACAGAAGTCCTTATAAACCCTTTGGAAGAAGCAGTGTGGTGGTGTTTTGTTCGTTTGTTTGTTTGTTTTTCCTATTCTGGGTCTGGTAACCCTGATATTTTTTTTTCAGGTAAATTATCTGAACAACAGTACCTGTGAAGAAGAGATTCTCCTCTTTCTTCCTTCTCCGCCCTATAAATTTCTGATTTGTTGGTTCTAAGTAGGTTCTTAAATCAGTGTAGCGTTATTGTTTGAAATGATTTGAGTTAGTGGTTCGGTGCCTTCTTAGGTGATAGCATTAGGATTCGTAATGCCATTTCCCTGCAGTAATCTCAAAGTTGTGAAATGGGCTCTTTCAGGATGTTGTGACGAATAACTACCAACCTGAGTTGTTTCACAGTACAGTGCCATAAATCTTCTCTGCATTAGTGGTAAATGTTTCTTTCAGATCACATCCAAGGCCTGTAAGAAAACTTTAAAGGCACGGGAATGTGGAATTCATGGTATAGGAAGTACTTAAGATCGAGACGTTGTATTACCATGCAAATAGAACCGAGTCTGGATTATGTCAATGTGTTGACACAGATTACTTATGGCTTGATAGAACTCCACTAAACTTGGTAGTGCTGTAGAAACTGGGTTACAGAGATTGCAAGGAAAATGCTAAATATGGTTTTGATAAACATAAAAGCCAAAACATTCTAAAAAGTTGCTTATACCATCGTTCCTGAATTTTGAAACCAAATTTACTTTTTCTCTGTTTACGAGGGAAGTAAAATGTATCTTACTGACCATGAATGAGCAGGATAGCTTTGTGGACTTGCTGATATTAAAATATTTTTATTATGGACTTCTGTTATTAAATATCTAGAAAATGTAATTTGTTTTGGTTTAGGGCTGATTCTATAGGCTCCCTAGGATTTAATTAAGTTAAAATATTTCATTTTCTATTTTAGGTGTGGAATATCAAACAGATGATTAAATTAACACAAGAACATATAGAAGCATTGCTAGACAAGTTTGGAGGAGAGCATAACCCACCATCAATATATTTAGAGGTAAGTTTGTGGACAAATGTGGCTAGGTTACTGGTATGTTATCTGTCTTATATGAAGCATCCTGTGTTAAAAGAAAGAATACCTGTAGTAAGAGTATATCTCCCCTGTGGACTAGAAACCTAACTTTTTTTATTTGGAGATGGAAGGGGGCTGTGTGGAATTCCTCATACACATCAGTAAGGGAGGATCAGTGGCATTTTTTAACAGTTAATGCTGGTGTAATTGAAATGTAAGGCGTCCTTTTTGGTGCAGGGGGAAAAATTGTGTATGTAGTTTTAAAAGAATAATAGTAATAATAATAATGAAAATAAAAAATATAACAAAATGCATTTTTAAGTGAATATATGCACATGGAACATAAGACTAACTTTGCCTTTAAAGCAGTTGAATTCCCGTTCTTTTATCCTTTGAAATACAGTCATGTGGAATACAAAAACTGTTATTAGTAGAAGGGATCTTTCTTACAGAAATGCAAAGAATTGTAGGGTGGAGTAATATTTTAAAGCTGCGTTTAATTTGTAAGCTAATTAAAAATTAAATCTTTTTATTCTTTCATTACTCCTGATTCATGAAGTTGCGTAGATGCAGGACCATTAAGAAACTATAAAAGGACCACATGCATCAGTTGCATCTATTAGGAATTGAATAGGTATCGCTTGCTCCAAACCCTGCCCTTTTCTTGGGTCTTTCATGTACTGAAATAACTGGAGGTCAACCAGTTTTCTTTTGTAGTCATTTTAATTGTGCTTGCTGCCTAATGGCACTGGGTAATTAAAAATAAAGATCTCATTATTTCAGGTATTTCTAGCTTTTATCTTACCATGTCAGAGCAGGGCGGTAACCTGATTGTACGAGTGTTGACATAATGTCCTGAACTGTTAAGGTCAAATGAGGCCCTCTGTAGTTCCTTTCTTGCTAATATGAAATGTAAGGATTGAATGAGTGTTAATCACTATTTTAATCACTCGGTATATAAACACGCCACTGTTTATATAAACTTGAACCGGTTCATTCCAGATCTCTGTACTTAATATTGCTGAATGTATATCGGTTTTATTAAATGATGAATCAAATTGCAATAATAATAAGCCTAATGCTTACTAAGTCTGGATTTCAGGTCGTGCACTGTTCAGTTTGGTACAGCCATTTGTCACTTGCTTGTATGTAGATTAAAAACAAGATCCCTTCACTGGAAGTTTTTTAATTCATCTGTAGTTGATGGATAGGGAAGAGGCCATTTACAGGAGTAAATGTTTACCTAGAAATTATTGCAATAGTGTAAAAACTATGGTAAGTCTGGGATGCCTAGTGACTACAAAATATCAAGCTTAAAGTAGGTTTGTGAGTTTGCTGGTTCCATGTGCAGCTGAGACGTAACAGTAACTCAGACTCATCTGCGTGCTATGCAAGCCCTGCCACACCGAGTTGTCCTGGGTGATGAAGAGTCTTATGACAAGTAATGCTGGTACTCTCAGATAAATTATCCCATAAGGGAGCGGGTCCTGTGAAAAAGAGCACACACCATCATTGAAATGAAGATCCTGAGGTTTTTTTCCCATCTCTTTGCTAAGTGGTTCCTCTGCTTCCTTGGCTCAGGTACTTGCAGTACCAGTAGTGGCTAAGCCACTTGGAGTCCTTAACCCAAGAGGAAAATATTCTGGTTTTGCTGGATTAGTTTGCCATCCAGCTAGTAGACTGACTGTGGTTATGATGGAGTCCCATGAGTCCCAGAGCTGTGGTTAGTGTTCGGGAAGGGGAAGAGGTTGGAGCTGTGAGTCAAGAACCTAGAAAATGGGGTGAGAGAGAGGGAAACTTCCTCTTTGCGTGGTCATCAACCTGGATTAGGTCACGCTTGGATGGATTAATGGAACTGAATAGGATTATATAGCCAGTCACTTGTTTAGTTTTTAGATTTCCTTCAGTAGAACTGAAGTGTGAGGGAAAGAGAAGAAGGAAATTTATTACAACATACCTGATACAGTGAGAAGCAAGATTACTGGCATCCCTTGATGATTCATTTCAATGCAGCAACAGTTATCTGGTGTGACCTTTCTGCACCTTTCCAAGCTTTTTGGCTGTTTTTGGCTTGGTCCAGAACAAAAGCTGCTTTCCATTGTCTGAGTTTACTTTGCAGGCATCTATCTGGATGTAGCTTGTCACTGCTGGAGCTGATGTTTTAACTTCCTGTATTCCTCCGCTTATCAGAAAAAGCGCTAGGACAGCCCTGGTCGCAGTATGAAAGGACAAAGCTGTATGCAACAAGCTGTGGATGTAGCGTGATAAAGTGGGGAAGGACATGTTTGCTTCTAGAAAATGCAGAACTAAGAAAATGCAGTAGTTTTGATATGCATAAAAAGAACAGGAAATTATGCAGAGTACGTGTGGGTAGCTTAAGCAGTTCAGTAGATAACTCATCCTTCTGACATCCGTTAGAAATAGCAAGCTACCTGTGTTCGGAGCCGCACTTGGGCCTCTTGCTCACTTTCCATACCTGGGCATCGTCATGTCTTCTGCGTGAGACTTCTGCCTTTTCCCAGGGCTTCAATATAGGCCTTGGCACCATGGTCTCCAGCATATGCTTGAACAGGAAGGCTATGCAGCTTCAAGCTCTGTCCAGGCTCCTCTGACTTCTCATATTTTAATTGCTTTGATGAAGTCTCGTTTCTGAGTGTAGAATGTGATATTGCCCTGTTTTTGCCAGAGTCTTTGTGGGTAAACTTGTTAGCCTGTTCCGGTGATGGTGTCAGCCTTTGCTTTCCTTCCTTCCACTGCTCTGGTATGTCTTGCATCTTCCATAAAAACTGAGCAACACTTAAGGACTTCTGAGGACTTTGCCTGTTGATCACCTCTTGAGGGCTATCAGCAAGCATGTTGTCTGCTTGTCTTTGCAAAAGATGGAATTATCCAAAGCTAATTGCTAGGTAAGTACCTGCAGATGAACACTTCTGCTTTCACTCCTGTTGCAAACATTGAATTTATTGCTGTATTGCTTTCTGCAAAACTGCGGCTTTTTGATATCTCCTGAAAGCTTGACGGCTATCCATCTTCTGGCCTGAAGAGTTTAGTACCACAGCATTCGTTCAGTTCTTTTGTACTCTCATATGGCTTTATATCTTGCTTCTTGTGTCTCTTAGCAAGTGCCGAAGTTCACAGGAAGGACTTGGAGCACCTGGTATACTGGCTGGTATTCTGTGTTACAGCTGCCTCTATGGATTTGTCAAGTAAAGTTGTGGTTGGGCCTGGCAACAAAACAGCATTTCAATTAAAAGCAATAAAAGAGATGGGAAGCATCCATAGGAAAGCTGAAGAAATAGACAAAAAAAAAATAAAATAAATCTGGAAATTGGCCATTCAGAGGATTTAGGAGAATTATTTTTGCATTGAATATAAAACCTACAGCTCATTTAAAAATAAAAATGAATTTATGCCTTAGTTACAGTTGCTTAAGAAGATATGAGCTAACAAGCTTTTGCTTCTGTGCTCATCTCAAAGAGCGAAGACAAATTTAGTGTGGCATTTTTTTTTAATTCTGAGGGTGGGGTTCAACACGTCTTACACAAGAAGAATTTTAAAACTGACAGCTATTGTTGCAGCCATCACAGTCAATTGATGAATCCTGAAGTGAAAGAAGAGCAGGTGACTTGAAATATTGCAGGTAATTGACGTGTGCTATGTTGAGTTCAGCGTGTATTTATGCTTGCAAGAGGGGGTACTCAGATTCAGGGGCATCTCCCTGCCTTGATCCGTCACTCCTCAGCAATGGCCTTAAAAAGGTGACTCTTAGGCAAGTGGTGTAGGGCCATCAAGCCTGTATGTGTTACCACTCCCAGCTGTCTGGAGTGGAAAAAGTAGTGTGAAACTCTAGGATATCACGTAACATGTCTCCCTCCTGTCAGGACAGGAAAGGAAGGCTGAGGAAGGAGAATGAAGCTGCAGAGATGCTCCTGAGCACGCGTGTGAGATGCAGGGGTAGGAAACGAAGTGAACAGAAGAAAGAAAAGAACACTCGTCATTAACCATACAATTTTCTTCTAATTGCTGTAATTAGTAATAGCTTTGGGACTCTTATCAAGGCTCTCTAAAATGATTACAAGAAAAACCTCTCTGTTTGTTCTGGATGGAAGAAATAATTAATGTAGTAAGCATTGGCTGTGTTCAGATCTAAGTGTGGCTTCTGTATTGTAGCTAAAATCCTTTCTTAGGTCATCCCAGAACTTCTTCCTACCTCTGTGTGCGAGCGTGCATCTCGGATCTAACAGACCCCTGGAAACCACTGTTAAATATTTGAAGTAACTGTTTGACTCAGTCGATGTAGAAATAGTATTAATAGCACTTCTCTTTTATTCTGGAGAAGAGGCTGCAGGGGCTCCTTGGTAGGTTTTACTACATTTTTGGAAGCACTCTGTATCACAGCAGCTGAAAACATCAATGATTTTTGTCTTCCCACATAATTTCTCACTGTGTTATATCTGTACTTGAAGTGCTGTTTCCCAAAATACACAGTTTGTGATTCACTGTGGAAAAACCCTTTTTCTGAAGATTTGTTAGAGCATTGTAAATAGTGGAAAACTTTACTGCAAGAAAAGTCAAGTACTATGATACTGGGAAATCCTGGGATTGAGTTCGCAAAAACTGTTAAAATAAAAACTTAGAACAATACGCAAGGACTTATTTTATAATGGCCATCAAAATTAAACCTTTTTGTCTCTACCAACAAAGTACTGATGACAAGGATAACACGAGTTAGGGGCAGAAGGATAAAGGTCTGTGTATTTCAGTGCAACACTGGCAATAAATGCTGTCTGTGAACTCAAACGGGTTGTACAGATGAAAACTGGCCAAAAGCGGTCAGCTTAAATTTATAAAGGAGAGATCATACTTAAGTAACTTAATCAGATTTGTTAGCCATTATAGACTCTTAATGACCGTTCAAGAGGCCTTATTTAAAATTCCAGAACGTGTTGTGTCCTTCTTGCCTAGCAGTCACGTGTACAAAGTAATCTGATGAATTCAGCTGAGAATTTCACTTCGCACTATTAGCCCCTTAGTTCTGTTACCTAGCCCAGAGTTCTTCGCGTAGTGTGAGGCTGCCTCTTGCACCTGCTCTTTCCTTCATTTAACAGTACAAGAGCAAGCTGCCTGCTTTTTTAAATTCAGGCTCTGTGCAAAATAAAGCAGTACAAATGCATGGCTGGAATGACAGTATCAAATCAAGTTTCAAAACTCAGTCAGCTTTTGGTGTGAAGGAATCTTCCTCTTTCATAGTCTCACTGTTGGATGCTAATTAAAATGAGAATGATGTGGGTAGAGATGTTTGTCCCTAACTGCTGTGATTTTCTACTTTACACCTAAAAGCCCAGGAAAACAGAATTTTATTCAGAGGCCTTGCTCTTGCCTTTTTTTGAGAGTTCAGCTATTGAATTTCTGGAGAGTGTTTCATTCCTTATTCCTGTATAACGAGAATCCATGCAGGAAGTCTAATTAATTAAAGAAGATTACCTCTTTGCTGACCTACAGCATGTTTTTGCAACAGCAGGCGCATACGGGCTGAAATGGATCAGAATGATGAATCTCAGCTTGGTTCAGACTGTTTGTGGTAATTCAAGAAATACTGATGCTGGGTACAGTCACCGGGAAACCTGGTGGTCCCTGGAGAGGTTCAGGTTAACTTTCACCAGGCTCCTAACTGGTGCGGATCAAATGCGTTGGACCAAAACTGGGGTGTCTAAAGTTAGACTGAGTACAGATTTAGGAGCCTTACTAAATGAAGAAATCCTGATTTACGTTACTGTCTATCTTCAGCTCCCATTTAACTTAGTGGGATTTGCATTTGATCAACAGTCTAAAAGGTCAGACGTCTTTTAAATAGCAACACAATCTGGGTTTCAGAGACATGGAAGCTGTAATTTGGGCTTTTAAGAGCCTTGCAAAATATGGGTGGTACTTAAAATTTGATTGAGGAAGGGAGAGAGAATGATAAAAACCATTTGGTCCACTTGAGTTTAGGCTGGGTTCCCACCAGATGCCGTGGGGGACAGGGAGAAGGGGAAACCATAATTTGGTTTTGTCCCAGGTTAATTCTGAAAAAAAACTTTCCACTTGTTATTTCTACTTTATTTAGATGTTCTTAATGGAACGCATAGTCTGGTTATGGCCCAAGAAAGCAAATTTCAAATATGAGTGATATGTAATAGAAAAACATGCGTGCCTTTGAGGAAATCCCTTGCTGGCAAGATGATGCTGACAGGACTGCGGCGGGACAGCTGTGTGCCTGATGCGGTTCTGTTGATTTGGGAGATCACCACTAATTTTGTCAATAGGCTGCAACACTTGAGGAGTAACTTCTTTTACTCTGCTGCCTATGAGTGAGCAGCAATGTAGTATAGCATGTCTGTACGTTGCATATAAGCACGCCAACTTGTAATGCTTTAAATGGACTTGGCAGCTTACCAGGCCTTTGTACGTTTTACTCGCAGTTAAAGCTTCAGGAGTGGTCCCATATGAATGAGTGCATGATATGTGTATGTACTGATACGCAATATAGTTAATTTTAACTTTTCCTTCTAGTTTAGATAGCCATAGAGTTATTTGCAGATTGGAAAGATGTGCCAGTTTGAATTTAGCATTCAGCTTCTTGAATAAAATTTTCCTTAACTTTGGGGAATGTTCAAGGCAAATGGACCCAAAATTGGGAGCCTTCTAGTGACAGAGCGAACAAACACATTTGTTGTGGACAATAAATATTATTAATGATACTTTGGTTTTGGCAATTGATAAACCCACTGGAGGACTGGACCACTGAAGCCCAGTGGTAGCAACAAGCACAGCAGGAAAGATAAATGCAGAGTTGTGTGCCTGGGACAGGATGGCTGGAGGGCAACTTCACTTCTGAAAGGCCTCCAGAATCCTTCATTTCATAAATTACTACAATGTTCAGCATAATCTTTTTTTCTGTGGTAGATGTGATATGTTTTTTTTTTCTAAGTTCATATTTCAAATGATGTTAGAAATCAGCCTTAGGGTTTATCAATAGGTCCTTATCTGATTTGAAGGTTTTTGTAGCTGTTGATGTCTGCCAGCTAACGTGGCCATGCTCTATGGCATAGTCTTCTCCTAGATAGGAATACCTTACCAAAGGCCACTTCTGCTGCCGTAACACTCCTTAAATTTATCTCCATGAGATAATTCTCGGCTTTGACTTGGTGCTGTTGTCTGTGTAAGGCCCGTGGGTGTTAGTCATCAGCTGAGACTGATGTACTTAATCTTTGTGAAAATGAGATTCCATTGGAGCTGTTCTGTTTCTGCTGCACCTACTATTGCAACTTCTATATAGAAACATTTTTTTTAAGATGAAAATCATATCTAAAGTCTAATGGTAAATTTTTACTTCCATAGTGTTCTGTAATGGGATCTTCTGCTCTGACAGTGAGAGCTTTTGCCTCCATAAAAAAAAATAGGTCTTTTCATGCAGAGTTTAATAGTATAGAATCTAAAGCCTGCAAGAGCTCCCAGTTTTTCATGCTTAATGTTTATGCTTGTAAGATAAATCATTTGACTTTTGAGTTTGCATTAGTGACAGATTAAGCTGCCAGTGTAAACATTGTAGGATTGAGTATTTTGAAAGATGTGTAGTTTTGTGAAGGAACTAAGCCCACAAGTATCCGGAAGCAATGTAACATTGCATATGTTAGTGCAAATAATATTTTGCAATGTTCATGAGAAAAGGAAGTAAGTATTTAGAAAAGTATTGGTGAAATGGTAACAGTTTATGATTCTTAATTTTTGTTTACTGAAATTAATTCTTGACACATGGAACTTTTACTGGAATTTAAATGAAAAGTTGTTCCTGGAAGTAAGAGTGAGATGCTTATGGTACTGTAGAGCCAAAAATGCCATTATTTATAATTGTGTAACTTTCAATTTACTTTTGACAGCAGAGTGAAAATGTTCTGGCCTAAAGTCATCAAGTTTGTGGTCTAATCATGAAACACTAGATACTTTCAGTTCTCAAAAGAAATAGCAAGCAGTTGTCAGTTTCCTGCAGCTTATGGCCATTTATTAAAAGATGGAAGCTGTATGATTTAAATGGAATTGTAAAATGTTGTGTTTGCATCACTTGCATCTATGAGCAAGGTTATTTTTTCTCTTAAAATCAATATTTTTTCCAAATATGCACCCTGCAGCTTTTTGGTTGGTTCAGTTCTATAAATTTAAATTGAAGCAAGTTATGCACAGAGAACTAGAGAAATACAAGTAAGGATGGATCTTTCCCTGAAGTAAATATCTTCTTTCACGTTGAAAACATATGCAGCCTGGCACAGTTCTCAGTCTTGCTGGAGAGCTAAGAAGAAAATTCTTTTCATTACTGTTTAGATGTTAAATTTGAAAGATCTTATTCTCTGCAAAGGTCTAACACAGCTTTGTTTAACGCCAAAATGTTTGTATAGCATGAAGCACAAGTTTCTTAACTGATTCAAGTTTTTTGATCCAGAATTTTGAAGGTACCTACTAACTTATGCTGAAGAAGTAACACTGATATTTGGATATAGATTGCGATGTTCTTGTTACAAATAAAGTTGATGGAAACAGATTTTAAAACAAAATATATACAGTTGCATATTTGTGTTCTATAACTTACCAGTAATGTTTATGGGCTATATTTATTTTAAAACTTCATGGACAAATTTAATGTTGCTGACTTTTTTTTTTTTAAAGGAATTTGGCCAGTGTGTAATCAGGATTTGTGTAACCTTTACTTGGCAGAAAATCAAATTAATCCCATACAGTTTAATTAAATACATATATATATTTCAAACGATTGCTTCGATGTGGTTTTTGGGTGACTTTGTAACAGGCAAAGTTGGTTGTGTTCTAACTGTAACAAATGTTTTTACCATCTGGAATGAAAGGATAGTACCAGAGGTGAAGAATGGTGAACAGTGAGCTGAGTACACGGTCAGATTCAGGAAGCAAGAAGCAGGTTTCTGCTTTCTCTTAATTATTGCATTAGATGTATTTTTCTGTTATTCCAAGAGAGTGCTGCATTTAGCTGTAGCACAATAATTTGGAAAGGCACCTGACAACACTCGTTGAAGATTGCTGTCCTCTAACGTAGTTCTGAATTATACCAGATAGTGGAGGTGCTTTGAAACTATGAGCTATGATTTCTTTTATCCACTTACCCATTTTATCGATTTAAAAATTAGTTGTTTCAGAAAGTTTAACGTGAGTTTAAAATCAGTACTTTTTCCTATTAAAAACTTTGACCAGATCATTTTGAACGTCTTCCTGGGAGATTTGAACTAGTTCAGAATGCTCTTTGTTTCATGTTCATTCTGAATTTAGACTTCTGTTTTTGTTTGAGGCTACTACATCATTAAAATAGCTGTTCTTCCTTCACAGGCCTATGAAGAGTACACCAGCAAACTAGATGCCCTACAGCAGAGAGAACAGCAGTTATTGGAATCCATGGGGAATGGAACTGATTTCTCTGTCTCCAGTTCAGCTTCAACAGACACAGTTGCATCATCTTCCTCCTCTAGCCTCTCAGTAGCAACTTCATCCCTTTCAGTTTATCAAAACCCTACTGATATGTCACGGAATAACCCTAAGTCTCCACAGAAGCCTATTGTTAGAGTCTTCCTGCCCAACAAGCAAAGGACTGTGGTAAGTCAATTTATTTGTACATACTTAGAACCTCAGTAGTTCCTGTATTTCTGTTTGTCTTCATCGAAAAGTTAATTTAGGAGCTGAAAAACTTAACTCACGTGGAAGTCAAAGAGGTGGCAAATTTGTTTGCAGTCTGCAGAACTCCATCACAGCATTAACACCAATATGCATTCTGCATTACTGCTATAGAAGACAACACTTCCAGGAGTTCCTTAAGAATAGAAATAACTCAAATATTTTCCTAAAATCAGCTCTTTTAATTACGTAGTGTACTGCTTTACAACAGGTAAGAGGGTGCAGAAAAATCAATTTCTTGTACTATGTAAAATTATTGATTAGTTTAACAGGGCAAGATTAGGGAAAATAAATGTTTTCCACCTTGTTGAAGTTACTAGCAGCAGTGAATGCTCTACAGCAAGCACCAAGCTCCTGCAGCTAAGGAGAGCTGTGCAGAATCGCTTGTTTTTCTGTTGTTTACCTCCCCACTCTCTGTGGTGAGTGCTTCATGTTGGGACCCTGATGCTATCGGGTGCTGTATATAGAACTGACATGGGGAGGGACGTTGCTTCTGTTAACAGGAGCCTGCAAGTGTTGCTGTCATAGCGTTGCCTGCAAACTGCTCAAAACCTGGTGTTTTATCAATTTTGCCAATGTTATTGTGATTCCTGGGATCATGGAAGAAGAGTTAACTTTTTGCAGCCTATCTAGCTGTCCTTTAGAGGCATATGTTGTTTGTTTTTTTGTTGTTTTTTTTTTGTTTTGTTACATGCTGTCTACTGAAGAGCCTCAATATGTGCTTTTGAATAATACACTGACCAGTAAACTGCGATACATGACTGTATCTTGTCAGCAGTTGCTAGCATTTTTTTTGTTGGTTTGTTTGTTTTTTTTTTTTTTTGGAAGCCTTCTCACTTAAAGGGGAGCCGTGTTCCCAGTGGAAGTGGGAATTGAATGGATTGCACAGCCCGTGTCTGTGTGAAACCAGTGCTTTTTGTAGCAGTCAGTCAGGTATTGACTCTGACTGAACTGTGACAACCTGTGAGATTTGTGTTACTAGCAAAGAGGAGAAAACACAAACTGAGTAGTACTGGACATGAGAAGCATGTCTTCTCCCTTCTCCTGCCACTTTACTTCCCTCCATCCCATAAAATGTAATTAAATGTAAATTACAACCTCTTTGTAGCACTGTGCAGATGCATAGTGTTAAGCAAGGTGATTTTGTTGCCTGCCTGTGAGGTATGGCTTGGCACCTAGTGCTGCCTACATTTGAAATTTGGAGAGAGGGGTACTGGATTTCAGAGTCACCCTGCTCTCTTCAGGTGTTCTGTCCCAGTTTGTCTGGCTATTGTAGCCTCAGCTCCTGTGATCAAGCTGCCACAAGTTTTCTCTTTCTTTCCTGCGGTAGGTCACAGTGTATCACTGCCTGCATTGTTCTGTGTGTTTCTTGTTGCTCCATCTTATCTCTTCCTCTTCTCTAAGCCATATAGCATGTTTCCACTCTTACTTTTTCTCCTCACCGCAATATGCTTCTGCTGCTCCTTTCTCTCCCCTCTTAACTTCCTCTTCAATCCTTTTATTAGAGGTGTTTTTAAGGCTTTTAGCAAGCCTGACCTCTGTTTTGCATTTAAAGGAATTGTTTTGTATAAAGAAGAGCTTATGATTATGCAATATGCTACAGCAAACGTGAAGGCAAGCATGATTGTTTTGATGTTTATAAACATGTGCTTCACCAGGTTTAAGTTAAGCTACAAGTAGGATCACCAGAGAAAATACATTTGACTTAACTTGGTTGTGCAACCAGGGCACCTAAAAGAAAAGTTATTTCTGCATATGTAGATCTGATTACAGTTTAGGAAGAAGAGGTGACTGCATTTCTGTGTGAACGTGATACAGGAGGTAATTTGGGGCCAGTACAGAGCTATCTTGCCTCTGAGATAAGGTTCTGTGTGTGTTGCTGCCCCAGTCTAATCGAAGTAAAACAGGCTGCCTAAAGAACTTGGGGTTTAAGTAACAGTGGTGGATTAGCTTGGTATGCTCTAAGACATATGAAGCTGTGCTTCCCTAGACTATGATGTCTTCTCATTTTTATGTCTAAGCTTTGAGTTTTCGGTGGATGCTGTGATTCTGCAGTATTAGTCATGCTCATTAGGAGCTTGCAGACTTAATCACTCTGTCACAGACAAGCTGGTGTTCTTGACCTCGATCACTTGTCCAGCCTCTTGACTAAGAGGAAACTTTCTAGCTTGAGGATGTGCTGTCATTTGAAGGAGTTTGGACCAGAACTTAGTAATGGTCTGTGCTTGATAGCAGGGGAAAAGGAGTTCTGACACTGAACCCAGATGCTTTTCCTGGTTATGGGATGCAAATGAGGTTCAAGTTGGGTGTATACTCAGGGAGAGGCTCTTGCTCTTATCTCCTGCTCTCTCCTGGAGTTTAATTACCACTTGCCTTCCCAGGGTAGGCCTAGGGTAGGCCTGCAGCTTGGTTTCAGCTTGCTAAATGTGAGACGCTAAGCGCAGAACTTCAGGAAAATCTGTGGTCTTGTGCTGTGGTAGGATTAAAGAAAAAAAAAAAAGGCTGTACTGACAAAAGAGGAAGAGGCAGGTAAGTGGTGGAGGGAAAGTGCAAGTCTCCTTAGGCTCAAATCTGGTGTAAGTGTGTCTGCAGGTGTGCGTGCACAAACAGATGTGTGCAGAAGCAGAGAGGGATGGCCAGACAGAATACTGCAGGTGCTTGTAGGGCACTGTTAGCAGATGGTGGCTAGACCTGAGGCGCGTAACCAGGCTTTGTCTGCTCAGAGCAGCCTCAGTAAGTCCTCCTTGGGTGCTGGAACAGATTTTAGACTGCGTTGTTTCCTGCCGGGTGTGTGCAGTGGAGAGGCTTACTCCTGCCTCATGCTGTATAGCCAGGGGGAGGACAGCTCCCGTTCTGCTTGGAGCAACCCATTTTTGCTTAAAACTGTTATTCTAAGTACACAATTGGAAATACATGCTGAGGTCTGATCAGCAAATACTGCAAATTAATGATTCAGCTTTGTTTCAGGTAGAGAAATGACTATCATTCAGTTTTACACACTGCTTGGATCTAGTTAAGTTACTAAGTTAAGCTTTTATTAAATAGACATAGTAAACTGTCTCTTTCAGAGCTGGGAATTGGTGCTTATAGGAACTCTGAGTGTTGGGGGTTATTGGCCTTGGAGTTGAAGTTCATGTATCAAACTTGAAACGGTGCTTACGTCACTGAGAAAGTTAGGAATATCTTGTATGACAACTCTTAGTAAATACTGAAAACGGAGCAACTATGTTGATCCTACACTTAGTCTGCTGGAAACTCGGGAAATTTCCTAAGCAAACCCACTTCAGAAGTAATTGCAGTTTGCAGTGCAGTTTGAACTGCAGCTAGCTGGGTGATAGACTACCAGCCTAAAAAACTATCCGGCTGTTCTCTGTGAGTGCTGGGATTACTTGCTGTAGTACTTCATTCTCCGAATGGTTGAAGAAGAATTGCACACATCTTAATCTTCCAAACTAACACAACCTTAACTAGGACCTCTGGCTTTAAGAGCAGACCTCTCATGTCTTTCTCGTGCCTATTAACAGAGGCATTTGCTTATGTAAGCATGATGTTCGGGGTTTTCAGATGTACAGAACAGCTTCAGGTGTGCTGGATTGAAGTAGGAAGGTGATTCCTTGTGAAAATACATGGTACCTACTGTTAGTGTGCCTCCACCCCAATCCCAATTCCATATATTCAGGCTCTGCCACCAATTACCTACCTAATTGTAGGACTGGGGACCCACTTCAGGAGTTGAGAGCTTTTGTCAGATACAAGACAGGCTTGTTTTTTTTCAGCAGGGAGTACAATGATGCTGCTTAAACTGACTTTATAAAACCTGCCTGGTTGGTAATGGAGAGCCAACTTTGTTATTCATCTTTGATCATGTTCTGAAACAGTCCCAACTACTGCAGCAGCCTTCTGCTGTTCCTTTGGAGCTGCTAGATGGGCAGGAAATAGTGGGGTGAGCTGCTTACGTTTCTGCCCAGCAGCTGCCGCGATACTTAAAATGTTTCTGTGTTTTTTGTTTATTAGTAGTACTGTTTATGTGGAAGATCAAGTAAATATATCTGTTTCACTTGGCTCCAGCTAGGAGTATAATGAGAGGTGGTGTGGTTTTAACCCTGGCAGGCAGCTGAGCACCACGCAGCTGCTCGCTCTCCCCAGGTGGGATGAGGAGAGAACTGGGAAGGTAAAAGTGCAAGAACTCATGGGCTGAGACAAGGACAGTTTACTAGGTAAAGCAAAAGGTATGTGCACAAGCAAAGCAAACCAAGGAGTTCAGTCACTGCCTCCCATCAGCAGGCAGGAGTTCAGCCACTGCTAGGGAAGCAGGGCTCAGCACGTGGGATGATTTCTTGGGAAGACAAACTCCATCACCCCAAACGTCCCCCCTTTCTCCTTCTTTACCCCAGCTTTGTTGCTGAGCATGACACCACACGGTGTGGGGCATCCCTCTGGCCAGCTGGGGCCAGCTGTCCTGGCTGTGTCCCCTCCCAGCTCCTGGTGCACCCCCAGCCCCTCGCTGGTGGGCAGCACGAAGAGCTGACGAGTCCTTGGCTCTGTGTGAGCACTGCTCTGCAGCTGCTGAAACATAGGTATGTTATCAACACTATTTCCATCAAAATCCAAAATGCAGCATCTTATGAGCCTCTGTGAGGAAAATTAACTCTATTTCAGCCAAAACTTTAACAAGAGAAAAACGATGGCGTACAGAGAAACAAGACCATGTTGACCAGTGTAAGTATGTTGTGTTCTGATGTAACGTTTCTTGGTGTCAGGATAAATCAGGGCGTTTGACAGAAAGGTTTTGGTAATGTGGGAAAGCCTTGAAGGTGCTTCATTGAAAGCCTACCCAGTAAGTGGTGGAGCCTACTGCTGCTGATTAATTAGCAGATCAAGTTAGCATCTTGATTCAGCTGGAAACACGGCAGAATTAGGAC